CTCTTCTCTACCATGATGTCTTCTAGGGGGCGAGGAATACCATCTCCACTGAACCACTTCCGGACTCTTCTAGCTGAAGTGGAGGGGTAAGGGAAAGATAATGGTGCTGGGTCAGGTGTGGTGATGGCTAATAACTGGTGCAGAGAGAGGTGAGCACCAGCTGTCCTTGGTCTGAACCTTCTGGAGAGCAAATCCCAGAGGACCTTGCTCAGGCAATGCTCCCAGAGTCAGTACTGGGAGGGAAACGCTCAGCCCTAAGCATTTCACTGAACCTGATGAGGCCATCAGAATCCTGAATTTCAGTTGGACAAAGTACTTCGATGTCCCCTCCAATGCCCTAGGCAGGAGCCTAGACCACTACACCTCACTGCTGTGTCCTGGTGGCATGCCAGAAGCAGACCATGGGGACGTTAGCCCATGCTGCCAGGGTGCATGGGCAATGCACATGTGATCAGTTTACCCTCAAAGTTAGAAGATCCCAGTGCTTGGATTCAAGCAGATCTTGGCAGCTTAAGATGGAGCAGGGCCAGGAAGCCATGAAAAGCACCAATAAAGCTGTGTTCCGAAGTTTAAAATACCATTTTATTAATAAAAAAAAAGTACAATCAAACTGGGTAAGATCACTCAGTACACGGGGTCGCCACAGACGGCCCATCCTAGCCACGTGCCCTGACCGGGGCTGGCAGAGAGCAATGCCAAACTGACCTGGGCATTTAGTCAAGTGACTGTGAGTGCCTGCTAGGACCAAACAGGATTTGGGGACAAGGAGCAGTATGGGGGGGATTAAAACCTACTGCATAGTGCTGCTTTTCCAACTGGCCACTCTATACAGACACGGCTTGGCTTGGAACCTCTCTGCCATGTTGTTTGAATGATGAGGCCTTGCTTGGTACAACATACCACCAAGTTAACCAGTTCAGGAGAGAAGGAACAGCAGCAGGAAGGATGAAGCAAGAGAAAGTAGCTAACGCAAACCCCACAGCCTGCAGGGAAAGAACCACCCTCGAGAGACAGCTGAAATAGCTATGCTGGCAAGACAAGGACAAGCTCCCCACCATGGTATGTGCCACTAACTCTGATTAACACCCTGATGTGTGGAAGGGGAACAGTGAGTCCTGACACAAAACATAAAGGGAAAAGCAACACCAAGAGAGACTGAGAAGTCGGAAAGCAAAATCTGGGAGTTGACCACGGGCCAACAACTAGGGCAGGCAGGTCCATGGGAGAGAACAGCAACAGGCTAGACTTGGGCATGCATGAGCCACAGGCGTCCACTGGTGCAATCACTCTGCACTGTGAAAGAGGAGCAGACCTATGATGTACAGCCCAAGCCAGCACTGCTCACTCAAATCCAGGCCAAAGCTACTTCAGAAAAACTCGGGTGAAACTATAACCATGTATGTTACACTGGCGCAGGGTTTTTGTTCAGTTTATCCCAGGGTAGCCGCTTCCCAAGGCAAAGGAGGCTATTTATTACTGGCTCTCCTGCCACCTCGTGGTGAAATACTGTCATAGCAGCCTACTGGATGCTGCTACCTGTGGGATGGGGCGCTGGTGTAAATGTGTTATGTTGCCCAGAGCCTTACATAACAGGGGCCACCCAGTCCCACCCCACTGCCTGCAAGAGCAGCTCTAGCAGACTGCATTGAGTTGGGCTTGAGGAATCAGGTTTGAAGCTTCTCGGATCAGAGGTTGCCAGGCAGAATCTAAGCTGGTGGGAAAGCTCCAGATCCCAGGCAGCTGGCCTGGTGTAGAGCTAGGGAAGCGAGTTACAAAGGGCATCACGCGCTACTTGCACTGAGCATCCATCAGCACAGACCTCACATCACATCCCAAACAAACCCACCACACTTGCACTTTCTTATAAGTTACTCAATATTAATAAAATAATAATAATACTTTGCACTTCATAGCACCTTTCATCCAAGGATCTCAAAAGTATTTTGCAAGCACTGTTGAATGAAGCCTCACAACACTCCTGTGAGGTAGGTTAAGCATTATTATCCCTCATTTGACAGATGGGGAAACTGAGGTACACAATGAGGGGGAAGTGACTTGCCCAAGGTCACATAGCAAGTCTGTGGAAGAGCTCAGAAAGGGCTCCAGGAGTCCTGAACTTGGGTTCTTTGCTCTGACCACTAGAGTGCTATTTTACCAAGTGAAAGAGTGAAAACAACAACCTGTCCTAAAAAAGGATCAAGTCATTCCCTGTCCAAGCCACTGTCATGTTTGGGCTATGACGGACCCTCCTGCCTCAGCTTCCATGGTGGGGATAGAGTTAGATGGCAAGAGGGGGGAAACGTTCAGCATGGAACATTGCGGCTGCATCCGTGATCCTAGTGTAACTCCTGCTAAACAGCAATGCTTTCAACTGATGTTGACACCTTTCACCAGTAGGTTTCAGAGTCAACACTCCACTGAGGTGCATGGAGAAAGTTTGCCCTCCCTAGGTGATTCTTTCTGGCTGCGTATCCTGGGAGCAGACAACACTATCAGAGGACCCAGGGCAAAGGTGGTCTACTAATCACCCATTCAACCAAGCACTCAGATAGCGCCATGTCTGATATCCTGAACATTTAGCAGCATATCTTCCATATCATTCTCCTCTTGGACTGCTATTCTCAGTGGACACACAGATTAAGGCCCTCATTGGACTATGATACATCTAGGCCCTAATTTGTCCCATCTTAGGCCCTTATCTGCCTGCCCTTTCTGCATATATGACTGTGTTTGTTTGACACTGCTAGGAAGCATAATCTTGGCTGAAAGTTGTTGGAAGCGAGGGCCAAGGCTTTCAGTGATCTGGGGGCAGGGTCTCAATTTGAGCCACATTCCAGGGGCCCGGATTTGGTGAAAAAAGGAGAACCTGCTCCCAGCACATCCAGCTGCTCTGTCTATAGCCTTCTCAAGCTGAACACCTGAAAGTGGAGAGGCCAAAGGGACCAGTCACCTTGACAAACCTACCTACTACTTCCCGTTATGGGCCAAGAAAATATCCGTCATCAAACAAAACCATCTCAGCTCCTTTGCCTCACCTCTTCATAAACAGGCAAGGACAGACCAACAGGCTGAAAAAGCATGTTTAAACACTAGGAGCAGATTGTCAGCTGGTATAAAACTAGCAGGGACTCAAGGACTTTGATGACTATTTACACTGGCTGAGGACCTAATCTAAGCATCTGCATCAGGAGCTAAGCCCAGCCTGAGGGCCCTATTTTAAACAGGCTTCTGATTATGTCTGTAACCAGGATAGGCATAGCATTAAGCCCCAGTTGTGCTTCTATAGACAAATGGTTAGCAGCTGAAGAGGAGCATGCTGTGTAACCTAGTAAGACTAGGAACAGACTCCAAATTGACGCTTTTTCGAGGTGGTCACCATTTTTTGCATCCCCCCAAAATTCTCCCCTCCCACCCCCCAAAAAAGAAGCATTTCCAAAAATGGATTGTTCTTGATATTGTTTGTAATCCAGATATACCATTCTCTGTGTTTTTTCACCTTTCTTTTGCCTCTTTTTTCCCCACCCCCAAATCAACCTAAAATTTAAAGAGAAAAAAAAGCAACCTTTAGAAAATGAAACTGGGGAAAGAGGGAGAGGTACAGTGGAAAATGAGATAATTTAAAACCCTGCCAAAAGAAATAATTTTAAACCCCCTCCCCCACCCCCCACACACACAAAATGCTCCCCCCAGCTCTGTTAATAAATACACTATGAGCTACTAATTCAATTTCTGATCAAGGAATCTGAGGCCATGTGACCCACCCCATTCTTTTCCATATCATCAGAGACCGTCTGGCGCCCACATTTCCTTCCATCTCAACACTGACAATCCAGGTCAGTCTTGCTTCCATTTGTTGCATGTTACATTTGTGGGTTCCCAGAGCTGCACTGCTTGAATTGCAACTGTTCCCAATGAGATTTTACTGGTTTGGAAAAAAATCAAAATCAAAAAATAAACCCCAAAATTTAGAAGTAAGAAATTTAAGCCTGTTAATTTAAAATATTTGTACTAGAATTCCATTTGCAACTGCCCTTAGAAATAGCTCTATTGCTCTGTAGTAAAAACTTAATTTCGAAAGAGTAGAACCTGACATTTCAGGGAATAAAGCATGATCAGCATCTCCCTTTTAGAGTGATCATTATGGTGGGAACCCAGACAGCTTTGTCCTCACTACATTGTGATAGCAGCCTTTTGCCTTCCCCAACAAAGAAAAATAAACCTCTTTTGCAAAGTAAGATACACACAGAAAATTTGTCTACTTTCAATATTATTCCCATGTAGAAAAATGTCAAATAGGTTTGTACAAATATCACAGCTCAAGATTTTAAAAGTTCATGGTTTAAAAAACAACCCCCCACCCCCCAAAAAAAAAAACCAAACCAAAAAACAACCCACAACACCCTGTGCCCGCCTGATCTGTCCAAGGGGGTTCACAGTTCCACGTGATGTCTGGGCCCTCTTTGCTTTCTTCCTTGTGTTTTGTCAGAGGCACGTGTGTTTTTACACTGATGCTCCAGAAACAGCAGGTTTCAACATTAAAAGAAAATCAGAACTCATTGGTCTTGTGGGTTTTCCCTGACCTAATTGCAGAATTGTAGATTCCAAACACTCCAAAAATCACAGCTCTCCTCTCTCTCACCAAAAAAAATCATGAGATTACTTGTAAGAAGCTCATGATTTTATTAAGATGACAAATGTTGAGGTGCTCCTTATTTGTTCTGTGGACTTGGGAGGCTTCAGGGAGGCTTGTGTTGCCCATGTCAAGGGCTGGACACAGTGTTTTGTGATGAAAGCTGAGATTGTCCCATAATTACAACTCTGGGAGCTGGGGCTTTAAAGGAAAAAGAAAACACCAAATATGGTTGGCAACTGTAATCTGATGGAGTTGCCTTCAGATTAAAAGGGGTGTGAGGGCAGGAGGGAGAGGGGAAGGAATCCAGGTTAGCCTGTGGCCATGGTTCAG